GTGTCATTGAGCTTAGCAGAGTTTCACTATCATGTATCTTTGGAAAGTTAAACATAGTGAGCCACTCCACTGAAAGTTGACGGGCCTTTATCAAACTCTTTAAAATTAAGGAGCTACTGGCTTGCCCAGCATTTTTCAGGGTTTGTCGGTGTGATGCTCCAGTGCTGAGCTTGAGTCAATGTAATGTCTCAGAGCCAGGGGATGGGAGAGCCCACGTGCTGGTTGGAGAACCTCGTGATGGGCACGCTGCACTGGGGTGAAGTGGTTCAAAGCTCTCTGGATAAATGATGTGACAGCTCAGAGCAAAGCACAGTCTGTGAGGAACATTCAGACATGGAATGAACTCCCCAAGTGACACGAGAAATCCCGTGACTGTCTTGCCTATAAGAGTGCCTCAAAACCCTCCTCTCTGAGGAGACCTTTCTGCTCTAAGGGTAATACAACAATGATGCTTTCTCTCACCTGAAGTCCCCCAACCAGCCCCAAAACAAGATCCAGAAACAAATGAACTTAACATAAATACCTGACAAATATACGCTTACTTAAAATATAAGATGCCCCATAAGCAAAAAGTTTTATTCAGAAGGGGAATTACCAGAAATTCTAGAGATTTTTGCTTCCATGTGAAAAGGCACACAGACACTATGGCGACGGGCATCAGTATAAATTTTAACAGACAGCTGGCCCACACAGTTTCGACTCCAAGGAGGAAATAAATTCTCCCTTAGGCTCATGTAAATCATGGGAAACCTCCAGCATCCAGACAAGCTGTGCTGAGGGAAAGCTGAGGTTTGTAACCGCATGTCAGTAGACGACTGCAGTCTGTGGGTGCACGTTGAGCATGCCGGCGGGCAGCCTGCAGCGCTGGGGAAGCTCTGCAAGGACCACGCACAGTGGGACGGGTACTGCTGCTCTCTCCTGCGAGCAGGGGATTTTCAGACTAGGAACAGGGATAAGCTTATCATGGGAGGGAAAGCAGGCACTGCTGAGCAAATGGGAACTTTCTCCGCAGACCTCTGCTGCGACAGACCTCTGCCCTCCCGCTGCAACGGTGCCTCAGAGCAGGGATACTGCCAGCCCTCACCCCACCTCCCCGGGGCTGGTGCAAACTCACCACTCGGGGCTTCTGCTGGTCCAGGGTCTGCAGGAAGGCTGGTGTCTGGTCCAGGGTGCGCTCGGGGTCGCTGGAGATGTCCTCCTCGGACTCCTCCCAGGATGAGGAGAAGCCAGTGGAAGAGGCTGAAGATGACGACAGCTTCCGGACGGGCAGGCTGCCGGGGGGCACGGCGCCCGCCTCCTCCTCCGGGCCCCCCAGGTCCGTGACGATGACGGCGGGGATGCTCCCGCCGAGGGCTGAGCGCTGGCCCTCGAGTCCTGTGGGGACCACCAACACCTCGCCTCGCTGCGGTGCAGGCCCTGATGGCTCCAGGGTGGTTCTGTCCTCCGCCAGCCCCACGGCTGGGACCACCATCACCACCGGCCTCCCCGAGGACTCTGCCGTGCTCGGCCAGACCTCCACCCCACCAACACTGGGGGCCTCGCTCTCCCCGTAGGCTCGCGGCCGGGGTCCGGTTCCAAGTCCCACCATGGGCGCTATGGGGCTGGCGGGACGGGGCCGGGATGGCCGGGGGCTCCGCGGCAGCTGGGCAGCAGAGCTGTGCGCCTGGATGTGTGCCTCGAAGAGCCCCACTTTCTGGTTCACCTGGACGTTGTGCAGCTCTCGCTGAAGTTGCCGTGCTGTGGGGGGTCCTGGCTGACCCTCTTCACTCCAGCTACCCCGCCGCCCCCCAGGGCTGCCCGGCTGCCGTGGGGGCTCCTCGAGGGGCGGGAAGAGGAAAGCGGGGCCACGGCGCGGGGAGCGGGGTGGCACGGGGGCTGGGCTGAAGACGGGGAGCGGACGGCAGCTGCCGGGTGTCTCCGGGCCCCTGGGTAGCACTTGTCTGGGAGGAGGCGGCGTCTTGCTCCCGCCGCTTGTCACCTCGCTGTTGCTATTCATCATCACCAAGCTATTGAGCGCATAGCAGTACACGGCCATAGTAGTCAGCCGGGGCGCACAGGGGGGCCGCCGCCGCCGCCGCCTCGGCGCTCAGGCTCCGCGGGGCTGCCAAGGGTCTCTCCACGCCGGGACCAGCAGCATCGCTGGGAGGCAGCAGGGGAGCTGGGCTGGCCCCGGCCCCCAGCTCCATAAAACGAGACGGCTGCGGAGAGAGAGAGAGAGAGAGAGAGAGAGAAGCAGTGAGAGTAGCTCTGCACCCCTCCTAAGCTCACCCTCCAGCTGTGCACACAGCTGGCCGGACTCTTCCCTTCCTGCATTCCCCCTCCTCCAGTCACTGCATGCATCCCCAGTGTGCCACCCCTGGGGACACAGCCCAGCCTGGTTGTCAGAAGGGTCTGAGCCAAGGGGAGATCAGGTTTGGGGCTGTTTCCCCTCTTTCCTGCCTTCCCTGCCCCCTCTCCGGGTTGCCAGTTGATGCAGCCGCAGCAGCGGTGTCCAAGAGGACGCAGAGTCAGCAGCCGTTCCCGCAAGAGAATTAGGGAGTTACGGCTGACTGGTGTGAGCTGAGAGTTGGCAGCTTTCAAGCTTTGGTCCCAAAAGCTGACATTTTCTGAAGGAAGGGAAAAACTCCAAACAGCTCAAATTTGCCACCTTCCAGCTTGTCACCTACGACCGAGACTAAGCCCCGAGCACGGATTTCTGTTCAGTGATACACGTGAGGGCTCCCTGCTTGCACGGTTTTGAATGGTATGGGACCACATCTCCACTCCTTCCCTAACTCCCCGTGGGCAGCAACAGGAGTTTGCACACCTTCACCCGTGCCCTGCCTAAAGGTGCCCCCCTGCCTTCCGGGGCACCGACCGCTGCAGCCGCCTCCGAGCGACTGCCCGGATCTCCCTCGCAGAGCTGTGTGGCAGCGTTGGTGTGTGCGAGAGACTCTGCTTTTGTAGGTGGCTCTCTGTGCCCCCCCGTGCTGCCCTCCTTCGTGCCTGTTTGCCCCCTGCACCGCTGGAGTTGCAATCCCCATGCCAGAACACACAAAGACGCTGCCCGCACCAGTGCGTGGGCTCGCTGACCCCGGCTCCGGCCGTACATGTCTTTGGAAGCGCTTGCGTGCGGTGCAAGCCGGCGGTACCCCTGCCAGGCTCCCGGCAGGTAAATGCCCACACGTCTAAGTGCCCGTGCGACCAAAAGGCTCCCCATCCCTTCAAGGCGCTGCCCGGCGGCGGCGTGAGGCTCAGCAGAGCCCAAGCACCCCCTCTTTACGGGGATCCCCCTCACTGCAACGCTCCCAGCCCTCCAGCTCGGGTGTGAAAGCGAGCACCGGCGCAAGGTGCCCGGCCAGATTTTGGGGTAGGGGGACAGACTGCTTGGACGCCAGGGCAGGCTGCGGGGCCCCGGGGCTCAGCCAGCCCCTCTGCCCGCCCTCACCTCGCCCCTTCCTCCCGGGGGAGGGGGGGGGGTGGGGGTGTAACCCCGGCGGAGGGGGGCAGCCGCGTCCCCCCCCCCACCCGCCGCCGCTTACCTGGGAGCGGGATCCGCGCCCGCCCTCACTGCGCGGTGCCCGGCAGCTCCCGCCGGCGCCGGCGGCCGCAGGGCGCTGCACCAACCATCTCCGCGGGCGCGGAGCGCGGCCGGCAGTCCCGCTCGCTCCGCGGGTTCTGGACGGCTTTTCCTCGCCCCGCGGGGTTGGCGGGGGGGGGGGCGCCGGGCTCTGCCCCTCCGCGCTCGGGCGGCGGAGGTTGCGCGGGTGGCTCCGCGCCGCGGCCCCGGCGCCCGCTCCCGGTGCGGCTGGAAAGGCGGAGAGGGGCGGGGGGGGGGGGAGGGTGGAGGAGGAGGAGGAGAAGGAGAGGAGCGGCGAGGAGGAGGAGAGCGGAGGGAGGGGGTAGGAGAGCAGGAAGGAAGTTGTGAGCCTGTCTGGGGTTGAACTCAGCGGAACAAGTTTCTTTTTTTTTTTTTTTTTTTTTTTTTTTGCTCGGCGCTGCTCGGCTGGAGGGAAATACTGAGAAGAGAAAAAAAAAAGTTTCCATTGTTAACTAAGAAAAAGCAAAAAAAAAAAAAAAAAAAAAACCAAAAAAACAACACACCGCCGCGTTTTGGCCGCTGTGGGTTAGATACACGAGCCATTTTCCACCCGCGGCCGGGGCGTGAGGTGCGGGTCCCGCCAGCCCCTTGCCGAGCCCCGGCACAGCCCGGCTCTCCCCCACATCCCCAGGCGGGGTTGTACGCACATCCACTCGCTGTGGCTGTGCCCCAGGTTTAGGCAGGGCTGTAGCTAACCCGTCCAGGACGCTCTCCGTCTTTTTTTTTTTTTTTGGCTCAGGGTAGGCCACAGACAGCATTTTCTCAGCTCCTGCAGCCCCCAGGCACGGGTCCCGCTTGGCAGAGGGAACAGGCTCTTGGCTGTGATACAGCGTGATTTCTGTATCAAGATAACTCATTGGAAGTAGTTGTCTGTACGTCAGCACTTCAGGAGAGCCGGCGCTGCGATTTGCTCTCAAAGTAGTAGTCAAGGTCAAACCCAGATGGCAGTTTTGGGGTTGGTCTGGACCAGCCAAGGGGGAAAAAGAAACAAAACAAAACAAAAAAAACAAACAAAAATACCCCCAGCAATTTGCCCCTGCTAGGATTTCACAGCTAGGAATTTCCCCTAGAGAGGGAAATCGATGTCACAGCAGATCAGCTTTTTGTAATTAAGACATAGCCTCAAGAGTGTAAACAGGGGCAGAGAGGTCTCCAAATTTGCAGGTGGTGTGCATTGCCAATCCCACAGGCAGACAGACAGAGACACCCAAAATGAGCTTATGTTTGTTTTTCCAGTAAGAGAAATGCTATTTTGAATTCAGTGCAGGAAAGGAGAATTTTAGACTCTTTCCACTCCACCCGTTTCCTCACTCTCTGTGCTCGGTCAGGAACAGCTCTTTCATGAAATAAAGTATGTGATCAATCTTTCTCAGAAAAGTGACCCCACTGAGCATAATGGCATTATTCATGGTGTGGAAAACATAGGCATGATTCGTGTCAAAATAAAATACGGTGTGATAAATGTAATTGTTGTACCCTGTGTGGGTCTGAAATGATGTGTGATCACTATAACCCATATAATAATTGTGATGAATGTTGGAATCGAATCGAGAATATGCAAGAATAAAATATAGTTGAGTGTGCTTCTTGCTCAGAACAATGTAACCGCTTCTTAGAAACTCCGCCTTGAGATGATGCAACCTCTGCTGAGGAAAGCCCGCTGAAAGACAAAACTCCGCCACTTTCTAAAGATCCAACAGGAGAACAGCGCGCCAAGAGGCAGAGACTTCCAGACTTTCAAAGGACCCAATAAGGGACGGAAATCTACCCCAGCAACTCGAATGATCCAGTGGAGGAAGAGCAGGACGGCTCTCTGGTAAACGGGGATTGGTCAAGACGCAGATGCAAGAGTATAAAAGACCCTGCTGTTAGAACTCGGGGTGTGTGGCGGAGCTGAGACTCCCCGCGCACCCAGCGCTGCTTTGCTTATTGCTTCTCACCCTAAATTGATTGAACCCAAATAAAATTGTATGCTTGTTATGAGATTGGACTTCAGTCAATTATAACAATTTGGTGACCCCGACGTGATCTCCAAGTGGTTTCCTGAATTGTTGTTCCTCAGGGGGCACCCCACAAATTGTGGCTCGAGGAATAGCAGTCTGGGTTAATCTGTGGAGATCAACGAGCGAAAAGAGAGGCAATAACCAAAGGAATCGGAGCTCCAAGGGAAAGACTGCAGTATAAATTACCCGTAATTCTGGTGCACGAAAATCTGAGTGAAGACGACGGAGTCGTGAGTATAAGGGATGCCGTTCAGTTGGGTGGGATTCGGTTGCTTGTACGTGAGAGTGTGATTGAGACAGAACCTCATACTGGAAACAGAAGCTAATTCCGGAGCCAGGATTTGAGTTCCAAAGTGAGTGCGGAGGTTTTCTAACTGCGGTTCAAACTCCCGCGAGGGACTTGGCCGGTGAAGGACTGAAGCAGATCCTACAGGACTCGAGGGTGGGAGCGCTGTTCCTAGGGGATACGTGGGTGGGTGAAGGGTTCAACCCCCCCGCAAGACACTCTTACTGGTAACCAAGGGTGAGAGGAATTGCCACAAAATTCCCAAGGGATACGTGGGTGGGTGAAGGATTCAACTCCCTGGATTCAACCCCCTGCAAGGGCGATAGGAATTGCCATAAGATTCCTAAAATGGGCCAAAATAAGTCAAAATCTGAAAAGGGGTCAAAATCTAAAAAGGGAAAAAAGAAGGAAAAAGAATTGCCAAATATCCCCCCAGATAGTCCCCTTGGGACAATGCTTAAGCACTGGGGTTCCTGGCCATCTCAGAAAGGGAAAGCTAAGGAAAAGATGGTCCATTACTGTATGGAAGTATGGACAAAAGAGGAAATTCAGCCCGATCACCTATATTGGCCGATATTTGAATCTTTTGATGATTGGATCTGTTAGGCATTGAATCTATACGTGAATAGTAAAGAACCCTTTAGTCAGGAAGAGAGTGAATATGCTGCACTGTGGAAAGGGTCGGAAACTGGAAGATCGGTTTTGTTATTTCCTTTGGAAGAAAAGAAAGAAAACAGAAGAAAAAGAAACTAAACCAAACGCGTTATCATGGGAGCCATTAGACAATTTACCCCCACCTTATATAAGGCAGAACACGGAAGGCCGTCAGGAGAGAATATATCCCCAACTGCCTCCTGACCCCTCTCTGTCGGCTCCCCCACCCTCTCCTCCTTCTAGTCACACCAGGAGCAAAACAGTACAGAGAGAGAGGGATAAAATTCATGAAAAAGAAGAAGCAGTGACCCTAGCCCCGCTTCGAGAGGTACCAATGGGAGGAGACATAGGAAGAATTGGATTTGTAACAGTACCTTTGAATACAGGTGATGTGAGACTCTTTAAAAAGGAAATGGGTCGTTTACTAGACAATCCTTTGGGAGTCTCTGAACGATTAGATCAGTTCCTAGGTCCTAATACCTATACCTAGGAGGAAATGCAGTCTATCTTAGGAATATTGTTTATGGCCAAAGAAAGATCTATGATTAGACAAGCGGGAATGCAGATGTGGGAGAGAAGGCACCAACAAGGCCCTCCTGGAAAACAGAAATGGCCTAACCAGAACCCAAACTGGAATAACCAAAATGCCTGTGATAGGCAAAATATGTCAGATTTAAGAGAATTGGTTATACAGGGCATTAGGGAAGCAGTTCCAAGGGGGCAAAATATTAACAAGGCTTTTAGCGAACATCAGGGGAGGGACGAGTCTCCTACGGACTGGCTAGAGAGGTTGCGAAAAAAATTTACAGATGTATTCTGGGGTGGACCCAGCTTCTCAATCGGAGAAGCATTATTAAAAACCCAATTTGTAGCCAGATCCTGGGGAGATATAAGAAAGAAACTGGAAAAGTTGGATGATTGGCAAGATCAAGGACTGCAGGAATTGTTGAGGGAAGCTCAGAAAGTGTATGTAAGGAAAGATGAGGAGAAGCAGAAAGCGAAAGCAAAAACATTCGTAGCTGGGGTCCGGGAAACTCAGCAAAAGGAACAACCAAGAATGATCTCAGAAACTCCCAGATCAGAAGGTAGAAGAGGACAGTCAATGATCCTGAGGGAGAGGAATAGGGATTCTCCTAGGGGAATACCCGAATGTTATTATTGTGGGCAGAAGGGACATATCAAAAGGCATTGTCGGAAGCGAATGAAAGATGAAGAGATGTTTAAGAATGAAGAATAGGGGTGTCAGGGGCTACATATTTTGGGGACCAGAACAATAACGGAGCCCTTGATAAATTTAAAAATAGGTCCCCAAGGAGAGGAAGTGACATTTTTAGTAGATACAGGGGCTGAAAAATCTACGGTCCAGCATATTCCTAGAGGTTGTCAAATCAGCAGGGATCGACCCTGGTGGTGGGTGCTAAAGGAGAACCTTTTAGAGTCCCCATTATTAAGAATGTAGAAATTGAATCAAAAGCTCGAATATGTGTAGGAGACTTTTTATTAGTTGAAGAAGCAGAACACAACCTCTTAGGACGAGATTTAATTATTAAATTAGGTATAGGGTTAGAGGTAGAGAAACAAAATATCTCGGTAAAGTTGTATCACTTAACTGAAGAGGATGAAAAGGGCATAACCCAGAAAGTTTGGTATAATAAAGGAGAAATAGGAAAATTGGATATTGAGCCGCTAAGAGTGGAAATAATAAACCTAAGAGAACCAATAAGAGTTAGACAATATCCAATCTCATTAGAAGGAAGAAAACGATTAAAACCAATAATTGACAACTTAATTCAAAAAGGGACTTTGGAGCCTTGCATGTCCCCACATAATACACCCATCCTTCCAGTTAAGAAACCAGATGGTAGTTATTGGCTAGTTGAGGATTTGAGAACCATCAACCAGAGGACCATCACTAGGTTCCCGGTAGTGGCAAATCCATACACTTTATTGAATCAAGTATCCCCTGAACATATCTGGTACAGTGTAATAGATCTGAAGAATGCTTTTGGGGCTTGCCAACTGTCGGAAGCCAGTAGGGATTATTTCGCCTTTGAGTGGGAAGATCCGGACACAGGCAGAAAACTACAACTAAGGTGGACAGTATTACCTCAAGGTTTTACTGAATCTCCAAATTTGTTTGGACAGGCACTAGAAAAATTACTCACATTCTTTGAAAATAAAGGTGATGTAAAACTCCTACAATATGTAGATGATTTGTTAATAGCGGGGAAATCAGAAAAGGAGGTTTGGGAAAACACTATAGATTTATTGAATTTTCTTGGAGAAAGGGGACTGAAAGTGTCACGGAGTAAATTGCAATTTACTGAACCAGAGGTAAAATACTTAGGGCATTGGATCACTAAAGGGAAGAAAAAATTAGACCCAGACAGGATAGCAGGGATAGTTGCCTTGCCGGCTCCAAAAAACAAAAAGAGAAATTTGACAATTACTAGGACTGCTGGGATATTGCAGACAATGGATAGAGGGATTCAGTGAGAAGGTAAAGTTTTTATATGAAAAACTTACTTCGAACATGATAAAACGGTCATCACAGGATGATGAAAAATTCCAAAGTCTTAAGGATACCCTGGTAACGTCTCCTGTATTGAGCATCCCAGACCTAAATAAACCATTTCAACTCTTCGTAAATACCAGTAATTATACTGCCTATGGAGTACTTACTCAGGATTGGGCTGTAAGTAAAAAGCCCGTGGGATATTTTTCAAAACTATTAGATCCAGTAAGCAGAGGATGGCTAACGTGTTTGCAAGCAGTGGTGGATGTGGCCTTGTTACTCGAAGAAGCTAGGAAGGTTACATTCAGGGGATCTTTAGTAGTACATGCCCCTCATGACATTAGAGGAATCCTCCAACAGAAAGCAGATAAATGGCTTACTGACAGTAGATTATTAAAATACGAAGCTATTTTAATTCACTCCTCCAATTTGGATTTAAGGACGACTGTGGCACAGAACCCAGCACAGTTTTTGTTTGGGGGATGGGAGGAGGCTTCGGTACTCAAGCATAACTGTATAGATTTAGTAGAGTTGCAAACAAAAATTAGACCAGATCTAGAGGAAGAAGAGTTGGAGGAAGGGGAAAGATTATTTATAGATGGGTCTTCACGAGTGATTGAAGGGAAGAGAAAATCAGGATATGCCATCATAGATGGGAACAATGTTGAAGTAATAGAATCTGGGCCACTGAGTGCCAGCTGGTCAGCGCAGGCATGTGAATTATATGCCCTTTTGAGGGCATTGAAAAGATTACAAAATAAGAAAGGGACAATTTTTATGGATTCAAATTTATGCTTTTGGAATAGTCCACACATTTGGAAGAATATGGGAGGAAAGGGGTTTAATAAATAACCAGGGAAAGGGATTAGTATATGAAGAACTAATAAAACAAATATTGCAGGCTATACGAGAACCTGAGGCAATATCTATAACTCATGTCAGAGAACACCAAAAAGGGTTGCAATTTAGAATTAGGGGAAATAATTTAGCAGATGAAGAAGCCAAGCGAGCGGCTCTCTTAACCTTGACAACCCTTCAGCAACCAGGACTAAAAGAGGAACAAACAAATGAACAAAAGGCTTATTCTGAATGTGAAATATTGGAATATGAAAAATTAGGAGCTAAACAGAAAGACGATAAATGGATTTTGCCAGATGGTAGGGAAATGTTACCAAAAGGGTGTGCCAGAAGGATATTGCAAAGGTTACATCAACAGACACATTGGGGAGCTAGAGCTCGTGTGGATCGGTTCCTAAAATTTATATGTGTATAGGAATTTTTGAAATTGCAAAACAAGAGGTGCAGGATTGTTTAATTTTTCAGATAATTAATAAAAAACAAATAAGACAGACACCAAAAGGAGGGAGGCCTCTGGCTCACTGACCCTTTGAAAGGATACAGGTGGATTTTACTGAATTACCAAAGGTGGGACGTTATAAGTATCTTTTGGTGGTCACTGACCAGCTAACCCACTGGGTTGAGGCATTCCCTGCTACGAGAGCCACGGCTCAGACAGTAGTAAAGCAGTTACTTGAGAAAATCATTCCCCGATACGGGATGATTAAAGTAATCAACTCAGATCAAGGATCTCATTTTACATCTAAGATTCTTAAAAATGTTATATCAGCTTTGGGAATCCAATGGGACCATCACACTCCCTGGCATCCCCAAAGTTCTGGAAGAGTGGAAAAGGTAAATCAGACTCTAAAACATCAATTATCGAAACTTATGATTGAGACAAAAATGATATGGATAAAGTGTCTTCCCCTGGCGTTGTTAAACATCAGAACTATGCCAAATTCAGTAACTGGAATTTCACCTCTGGAAATGTTGTATGGAATGCCTTATACCCAAGGGTTGTCAATAGATCATCCCAAATTGGAAGATATGACTATTCAACATTATATCATAGAATTGAATAAAAACATGCAGGAGCTCAGGGCTAAAGGATTATTAGCCCAGAGCACCCCTTTGGATTTTGCAAGACACAAAATTCAGCCAGGAGATAGTGTTGGTAAAAAGCTGGAGAGAAGATAGCTTTAACACTCGATGGAAAGGACCATTTCTTGTTCTTTTAACTACAGAAACTGCGATAAGGACGGCTGAAAAGGGATGGACACACGCATCAAGGGTGAAGGGACCTATAGAGGAATGGAGGGTCGTAACTGAACCTGGAAATACCAAACTCACCTTTAAAAGGACTTGATGAGGGAGGTTCATATTGACTTCTGTAAAAAAGTAAATTCTAATTGAACAGCGTATAGAAAGCAGACGTACTTTAGCTTTTCCCCACTTTTTCCAAGTCCTTGTTCGTGCTGGAAGTCCTGTATTGAGTAAAATAATTCCTATCACCCACAAAGAGAAGAAAGGCACACCCTGGTAAAAGCCGGAGAGGGCAAGGCCGGAGGGAATCGGTGCTGCAGCTTACAAGGTCTTCCGAGGTCTGCAACCCCTGAGGTGGTGACCGCTGAGCATTATGATCCTGACCGGACCTCTCTTGGTATGGGTCCTGATTGGAACCCTGGGGGAAGGTGTGGACACCTCTTCCGACCATTGCAGTGAGTGTATTGCTGTAACAATGCAAGGTGATACAGTCTCCCATACATTGATCTACTATACCCACTACGAATGTAAAGGGCAGATCATGGGTGATTGCATATACAATCAAACCAAATATAAACTCTGTAAGGATCTTTCAACCAACAAGGTCATGTGCTATGATCCTGATATACTTCCAACTCTCTATTGGATAGAATTGAGAACAGAAGGATACATAAAGAAAGGGAAATATAAATATGATGGATGGAAAACTTTGGCAGTAAGTAATCAGGTTTATAGTCCTAATTCCCCAGTATCGGTCATTTTTGATGTCTGCCAAGCGGTAGATAGGGACTATTACTCAGCTGACTGTGGAGATATAAATCAGAGGAGACAATATGGGAAAACCGAAAAATACATGTGTATGAATCGTGGGAATTCTTATCTCGCATCCGGGGTCCACGGAGGCCACTTGTGTGGAAATACATGGGAGGCTGTGTGTTGGGCAACCGCTAACTGGGGCTATGAATATCATTGTCCCTATCTGAAGGCCAAATTGGAAAAGATAAAGGCAAGCCCAACTTGTGGACTTTATAACTGTACGCTGGTCAATCTAACAATTATAGATCCTTTGTCTTGGAGAGTAACGAAAAAGGTAACAGATTTCGGAATCAAGATCTGGGCCTCCGGTTATGATCCAGGAGCCATAGTCCGAATAGTTTATCATCAAGAAGTAAGGCAAACCATAGAACATCGTTTGTTATTCAACTCGTTTTATCATGAAATGGAAACAGGAGTCAAATATGAAATTCCCACAGTTATGAACAGGTTAGAGAAAAGAAGAAAGTAGCCCATGTCCCAGTGCAAACGTGGAATGGGTTTAATGTTGGAAATTTAGGATCATGGAGGTCATTCTTTAATGGTGATTGGATTACTAACGTGGGTATTGTACTCCTAGGAATATGTGGAGGGCTGTTAATTATCCCTTGTATAATTCCATGTTTTACTCGGTTAATACGATCGGTGGTACAAAGTATGCAACCAGAAATAAAGAATAATAAGACTCCATTAAGGTATTAGAGACTGAAACAACCCCAACTTTAACGGCAGCACGGAAAGCTGTTATCAAATTAGAAACCAAGACACGAATCAATAAGATAAACAAAGACAAAGGGGGGAATTGTGGAAAACATAGGCATGATTCATGTCAAAATAAAATACGGTGTGATAAATGAATTGTTGTACCCTGTGTGGGTCTGAAATGATGTGTGATCACTATAACCCATATAATAATTGTGATGAATGTTGGAATCGAATCGAGAATATGCAAGAATAAAATATAGTTGAGTGTGCTTCTTGCTCAGAACAATGTAACCGCTTCTTAGAAACTCCGCCTTGAGATGATGCAACCTCTGCTGAGGAAAGCCCGCTGAAAGACAAAACTCCGCCACTTTCTAAAGATCCAACAGGAGAACAGCGCGCCAAGAGGCAGAGACTTCCAGACTTTCAAAGGACCCAATAAGGGACGGAAATCTACCCCAGCAACTCGAATGATCCAGTGGAGGAAGAGCAGGACGGCTCTCTGGTAAACGGGGATTGGTCAAGACGCAGATGCAAGAGTATAAAAGACCCTGCTGTTAGAACTCGGGGTGTGTGGCGGAGCTGAGACTCCCCGCGCACCCAGCGCTGCTTTGCTTATTGCTTCTCACCCTAAATTGATTGAACCCAAATAAAATTGTATGCTTGTTATGAGATTGGACTTCAGTCAATGTTGCAAATATCTGCAGATTCTGGTCATCTGTTGCTCCCATTCCCTTGTGTCTGCATACACACATCAAAAAGTAGGAACGTTTGAAAGAAATAATAAATCCAGGAATACATGCAGATACAGGCATCTTCTTTTTTAAAATCAGCCGCACTATGCTATTCTAATAGCATCTGCATGTACTTGCAAGCACTACTGCACATCTGTGTATGGATGTTTTGACCATTCTTTGGGGTTATTTAAGAGTATTTACGCTAGCATAACCACAACGGGTGCTTACAGCCCTTTCTTAAAGTCCCACAAATTCAAACACCGTCAGATATTCATCCTATCAGAACAGGACAAAGGACTGGTGAATTCACTGTGGCACATTTATTGATACAAAATACCATAAGGGAGACCTGGCCTTAAAACGTGGCAGTATTTTTGTCATGTAACAGAAATACGTGACTTCCAGAGCCAGAGCTAGAGCTGTTCTGTGGGCACTATATACAATGACAAGGTTTTTTTTTTTTTCAAGAAGGAAGTGGCTAATAAAAGTGGAAAGAGGAAAAAAAAGTCTAGGGATAAGTCTTTGACTTTTCAGAATGGGTACATACAGGAGGGAAATAATTGTTTCCAGACTGGAGCCAGGCAGCAGTCCACATTGTATAGTGAAGAAAGAGCAGACAGCTTTCAGCACACTTGTTTCCAATCAAGTGGATGCCAAGTGTTTGAGGTTAGCCTGAATGGAAAGCACGAACTGAAACAGGTTGCTAGACCAATCCAGGAACAAGGATGGAGGCAAGAAAGGAGACAAGTTCTGTCACAGCCACAGACGGACGTCTCCACGCACTGGCACTGCTGTAGTTACTTGGTGCTGCTGAGGAGCCCTCTCCATGGCTTCGGCAGCGTTGCGTCAGGTGCTGTATGAAGAGAACAAAAAGGCTGTCCCACTCCTACTCGCTTGCAATCTCAGCGTATGTTCTTCAAGTAAAAGTCCAATGCTGGGTCTTTAAAGATCTTGCTTCAGCTTAAGCCATGCTCTTCATTTGAATTCATGCTTCCTGCTTCCAAAAAAAATCCTTGCAGTGCTTGAGGATACTGAAGCAGGCTGGGTTAGGGCAAACAGATGATCCAGCCAACTTCTGTGTGGGCAACTTGTCCTTACTCAAGAGAGTGGGGCCATTAAAATGAACAGGTTCTTCTACTCAGGAAGGGCATATATCCACTGCAGGATGTATTTAGTCCCAAAATAAAGCGAGGACAGACACTTACAGAAGGGTATGGAGCTGCCCGAACTGTGTAACATCTCAGCTGACACACTGGCTATAAGCGTTTGGCGAAAGAAATATCACAGCTGACAAAGTTAATGGTCTCCCAGCACCCCTGTGCACTTGAAGGGAGCCACATTAATTATCATGTCTTACTTAAAAATAGTTGTTCCAAATGTTCTCACTGTGCCCAGTGAGCAGCATGAGTGGGTCAGCCGGGCTACGGCCGCTGCGCCCCTGGGCTGGGGGCTGCCGAGCGCTGCGGGGTGGTGGCTGCTGGTGGGGGGCAGCAGGCTGGGCCCTGCTGCATGTGAACGAGTGGGGGAAAGAGGGGGTTTGGCTGCTGGTGGGAGCCAGGGGGCAAGAGGAGGTTTGGCTCTCGCAGCAGGAGCGCCCGTGCCCCACTGGAGCCAGATGAGAGGGCTGTTCAGGCAGGAGGGGAGATCACCTGCGCCCAGAGGGAGTGCTGGATAGGGAAAGAAAACAGTACCGCCAAGGCTGTTTTACTCCTTTCAGCCTCTGCCACGACTCTAGCTAACGTTTTGCTTTGACTGTTGCTGAAGCCTGCTCCTGGGCACAGCCTTCCAGGGCTTGGGGATACCTGGCAGACCAGGGCGGTGCTGGTGACCCTCTCAAGCACAGGCAGAACCATCCTTTGCTACTGACACCTCCTTCTTCTGGAGTCAGGATCCTCGTCCACATCTCAAGGCTTGCCATGCTGAGCCTTGGGATAGTATCTAGAAGGTTGTCAGAGTATGAAGACGATGTCCCTGGCCTTTGGCACAATGATGCTTGCATCACTGGGAGGGCCCGAGGCTTGGCAACAGGCTCCCCAAGACTGAGATGTGTAGCAATTCTCAGCACCTGCCACTCTAAGTGCGTGGTATATTCTTTCCCCTGACCTGCTTTCCTGAGGAAAAACCCAGAGAGACATGTACTGATTTGAAGAAGAATCCCTTCCCCAATCCAAACCACAGTAACAAGCAAAAAAAAAAAAAAACCAAACCCAAAACACCTTACTGAAGCAAGTTCCTGTTCTGCAGATATACCTTCTCCCGTGGAGAGAGGAGAACAGTTGCATGACAAATATTGATCATCCTATTCACTTAAATCCTTGGAGGTACTCAATTCATATGGTGTGGGCTGCATTATAAAGCTAGAACAGGATGGAATGGACCACAATCTGCTCAGTGTCAATCCAATTGTAAAAACAAACCAGAAAAAATTATAACAATTTAATCATAACCAACTACAATCCTAGAGTACCCTCCTCCTTCCATTCTTCCTTTATTATAAGATTAATTTTAAAAATTATTACTCTCTGTTGTGTTTAAGACTGGTTGGACAAGACAGCCTTCACTGGGTTTTGAAGACGAGTTGTCCAAACTGTCACTGTTCATCCAGTTCAGCGTCAGAAGGACCATCAGCATCCTTGCAGTGGAAGTCGGTGTTCTATGGCATTTCCTCATCAGTGAGTTGAGTCTTACAATCATGTAAAATACAGAAATAAATGGATAAACACAGAGTAGTTCTGTAGTCAGCAGACTAACTTTGTGTTTATGCCAGTGTGACGGAGAATAAATCTGGGTAATATTTTACAAGAAAAAGAACCACAGAATACTCAGGAGGAAACAGAACACTGAATTATCTGCTGAGAACTGTCTGTGTTTGGGCAGGTGACTGTCACACCTCTCAGGCATGGCACACTTCTGGGCTGGCTGGACTGGCGGGCAAAGCAGAGGCCAGCGAAACAGGCTGTGGATGCTTAGCTTGCACTAGCTCTTTTGCATTGCTTCAGTGGCAAAACTGGTCAGCAAGCCGCTGGTTTACCCTTTTCTTGGCAACCTCCAAGCTGGGTTATCTGGTCATTTGCTCCCCTCCTGTTATCCCACGGGAACACATATAACAGGAAAATTAAGGAATGACTGGTTAATATTTTTTTGTCCCAGCTCCTCTTCACGGAGCAAGAACACAGGGCTCCGGAGAGACACCTGTAGCAACTCACCATAATTTAGGGCAGCCTGTGTACTGCACCCACGTCTGCCTGAGCTCGTACGTCCACCCAGAGCACAAAGGAACCAGTTTTGTTCTCTGGGAGCCTCCTCCACACATTCCTGCCCGCACCTCGCCCCATGTTGCACCAAGTCATATGGCTCAGTGCAGCCAAGGAAGCCAGCCAAAGATCTCAGCAGTCTGTTCTGGGCTCTGCCCCTGCCACGCTGTGGGGCATTAGCAATGCGGCTCATTGCCTCGCCACCTTGGTTTGTCTGCCTGTGAAACAGGCAGTACGTACTAAGATGTCCTGTGTCTCCCGGGGTATTTGTGGCTGTGACCTGCCTGAAGTTTCATATACACTTGGGGACCTTGGAGGATGGGATGCATGTGTAGAATCACAGAATGGTTTGGGTTGGAAGGGACCTTAAAGACCATCTAGTTCCAGCCCCCCTGCCACGGGCAGGGACACCTTCCCCCAGCCCAGGCTGCTCAAAGCCCCGTCCAGCCTGGCCTTGAACCCTTCCAGGGAGGGGGCAGCCACAGCTGCTCTGGGCACCCTGGGCCAGTGTCTCATCACCCATGCAGTAAATAGTTTCTTCCTTACACCTAATCTAGATTTTTCTTTCAGTTTAAAACTGTTACCCCTCATCCTATCACTACCCTCCCTGATAAAGAGTCCCTCCCCACCTTCTCTGTAGCCCCCTTTAAGTACTGGAAGGTTGCTACAAGGTCTCCCTGGAGCCTTCTCTCCTCCAGGCTGAACAACCCCAACTCTCTCAGCCTGGCCTCACAGGGGAGGTGCTCCAGCCCCCTGATCATCTTTGTGGCATCCTCTGGACCTGCTCCAACAGGTCCATGTCCTTATGGTGGGAGCCCCCAGAGCTGGACACAGCACTGCAGGTGGGTTCTTATGATAGCAGAGTAGAGGGAGAGAATCACCTCCCTTGACCTGCTGTCATGCTGCTTTTGATGCAGCCCGGGGTACGGTTCACTTTCTGGGCTGAAAATGCACACTGTCTGGTCATGTTGAGCTTCTTGTCAACCAACATCCCCAAGTCCTCCTCAGAATGCTCTCAATCCATTCTCTGCCTGGCCTGTATTTGTGCATGGGATTTCCCTGACCCATGTGCAGGACCTTGCACTTGGCCTTTGTTGAACTTCATGAGGTTTGCATGAGCCTGCCTCTCAAGCCTGTCCAGGTCCCTCTGGATGGCATCCCTGCCCTCCAGCGTGTCACCATACCACACAGCTGGGTGTCATCGTCGAAGTTGATGAGGGTGCACTCGATCCCACTGTCCATGTCACCAACAAAGATGTTAAACAGCACTGGTCCAAACACCAACCCCTGAGGAATGCCACTCGACACTGCTCTCCACTTGGACATGGAGTCATTGACTGTAACTCTTTCAGCGTGACCATCCAGTCAATTCCTCATCCAGCGAGAGGTCCATCCATTAAATCCATGTCTCTACAATTCATGGGGGAAGTGTCAAATGCTTTGCACAAGTACGGGTAAATGACATCAGTTGATCTTCCCTTATCCCCCAGCACTGTAACCCAATCGTAGAAGGCCACAACATTTGTCAGGTGTGATTTGCCCTTAGTGAAGCCATGCTGGCTGTCACCAATCACTTCCTTATTTTCCATGTGCCCTAGCATAGTTTCCAGGAGGATCTGCTCAGTGATCTTACTGGGCACAGAGGTGAAATTGACTGGCCTGTAGCTCCCTGGATCCTCTT